ATATTTATACATATTTATTAAAATTTATTAAAACATATTGTGTTTTACACTTTTTATAATATATATTTTTCATATATTTATGCATATTTATTAACATATATTATGTTTTACACTTTTTTTCATTTCTTTTGGGAGCAGGGCCAACCTTCATGGAGGGTATCGTCGTCGTCGATGTTTATAAATCTGTCCTCTCGATTTTCCACGCGATCCTCCTGCTCGTCGTCATCTTCGTCTCTCCCTCTCTCTCTCTCTCTCTCTCTCTCTTTCTCTCTCTCTCTCTCTCTCTCTCTCTCTCTCTCTCTCTCTTTAAAGGTGAGCAAAGGGGTTCAGAGAACATCGATAATGTAGATTTTGAAATATTAGGAAACATAGAAGGATGCAATATAGCTGATAAATTTAATATATTTTATGTAAAAAGTATTAGCAACATTGTGCAATCTATTAGTAATAAGGGGAGAGAAGGCACGGGTAGGAGACCTATTTTTGTAATTGAGAATAAGGGAATTATGGAAAATTTGGAGCCAATTAGTGCAAGTGATTTGGAACAAATCGTTAGGGAACTACCACGAAAGAACGGAACAGAGGAAGGGATAAATAGTGATATACTGAAAATGGTGCTACCTGTGATAAAAGATGAGTTTGTAGGGGTAATAAATGATTCGCTTAGGACAGGTAAATTTCCAGAAGGATGGAAAACATCTACGATAATACCGATACCAAAGGTAAACAAACCAAAAAAAGCGAGCGAGTATAGACCGATTAATATGTTACCGATATATGAAAAAGTATTAGAGTTAGTTGTAAAAAAACAGTTGGAAAAATTTCTAGATGACAATGAAATAATAACCGAATACCAATCGGGATTTAGGAAACAGCAGTCGTGTGAGACAGCAATTCAAAGTTTTATCGAAGAATGGAAGTTGTTAATTGAGGAGAAAAAAATGGTGGGGGTGTTATTCCTGGATCTCAGGAGAGCGTTTGAGACAATAGATAGGGTAAGATTAGTGGAAAAATTATATTAGTATGGAATAAGAGGAGTGGTACTGGAATGGATAAGATCGTATTTAAGTAATAGAAAGCAGCAAGTTAGATTCAATGATATGTGTTCTAAAATAATTGAGACAGTATATGGCGTGCCACAGGGATCAGTATTAGGACCTCTATTGTTTATTTTGTATATAAATGATATAGTTAAAGTCTGTCCAGAGGGAAGTATATTTAGATTATTTGCAGATGACACGACCGCAAGTGTAACAGGAGAAAGTTGTGAGGAAATAGAAATAAAACTAAATATGGTGCTCGGTATACTTGAAGAATGGATGAATGTGAATATGTTAAAAATGAATGCAGATAAGACCAAATATATGATAGTTAGAAGTATAAGGAAAGAAATAAAAACAGACATAATAGTAAAAAGTTTGAATGGAACTATAATTGAGCGTGTCGAGATAACGAAACATCTGGGTGTAATGATCGATAGTAAACTCCGTTGGGAGAATCACTGTGATTATATGTTAAAGAAAATAGGGAAAAAAGTGAGTTTTCTGAACAGAATAGGAAATGATATATCGGCGTACACTCGATGTACTGCGTATAAGTCTATCATAGCACCTCACTTTGAGTATTGTGCAACGTTATTAATTGGTATGGGTGACACATTACTGAATAGGCTACAAGTTGCGCAAAATCGAGCTATGAGGGTTATACTTCAATGTGATCGACGTACCAAGGTAGACCTGATGCTGCAAGCACTCCACTTTATGAATATAAAACAGAGATTATTATATAATGTATGCATTTTTATTTTTAAAATAATAAGAGGAATAATGCCTAGACAATTAGGTAGCAAAATAGAAATAGTAGGTGATGTGAGTAACAGACAAACAAGACAGGCTGAGAATATTGTGGTGCGGTTTCGTAGAACGAGGGGCGGACAAAAGAGTCTATTCTATGAAGGTCTAAATATGTATAACGCCCTACCAGTTGATATAAGGCAATGCGAGAGGATCGAACAATTTAAGCGGAAGTTAAAAGTATATATTATACCTCATGTAGAGGAATTATTGTAAGATTATGTGTTGTAAAAAATAGCCGAGAAGGCTAATAAAGATCAATTCATTCATTCATTCTCTCTCTCTCTCTTTCTCTCTCTCTGGCGACCGCATTGTTCCGCACCCGATGGCTCCTCGATCGGTGAGGCCAGCCGCGCGACATCGCGATGCATCGCGCGAATTTTTGTCACGAACAACCGTATTTGGTTACGCGACTTTTTTACTAGAGAGGCGACGATGGCTCTACCAAAAAATACAAATATAAATATAAATATAAATATAAATATAAATATAAATATAATTAACATATATAAAATATAAATATAAAAAATGTTATTTGATTGTATTTAGCAAATCTACTTACGTTCGCTCCAGCATTACGGAGTCCTCGTCGATACGAACCGACATTTAAATACACGAGGGAACTTTTTCCTGTATGTTTCTCAGTCGGAGCTGCAACAGTCGCACAGAATCCAAAAACTTTTCTACCACCCTCACCAAAGAGGTGGTGTGTATTTGTAGAAGATCGACTATACTTTTAATGTCATTTAGCTTTTCCATTTTGTCTTTCGTTTCACTACGTTTAAAAAGACACTGTTCGTGATAAAAAAAAGTATAAAAGAATATTGCGGTAAAAATATATACTAAGAATAGCATTTCTTGCGTCGAGGAAAAAATGGATCAAGGAAAATAATCCATTTTATCAAACCGACTCATCCGCCGGAATCGTCGACGCAATTTTTCCACCCGAGACCCCGCCGTCGCACCTATCCGCGCCGAGATAGCGCGACAAAGGGAGAATATCGCGGTAAAAAATATTTGTAATAAGAACAGCGTTTTTTTTGCGTCGAGGAAAAGCATCGAGGAAATGATGCATTTTATCAAACCGACTCATCCGCAGGAATCGACGCGTTTTCCCACCTGAGACCCCGCCGCCGCACCTATCCGCGCCGAGAAAACGCGACAAAGGGAGGACATCGCTGTAAAAAATATAATAAGAATAGCGTTTTTCTTTACATCCCGGAAAAAATGCATCGAGAAAAGATGCATTTTATCAAACCGACTCATTTGCCGGAATCTGCCGGAATCTTCGACGCATTTTTTTCCCACCCGAGACCCCCGCCGCCACCTATCCGCGTTATCGCTAACAAGCGTCCTCGCGTAAACGTTCGCATCCGGAACGCTCATCGAGATCGCGCTCAAACCGCAACGCACCATCATCGCAGTTCCGCCGTTTCTCTCTCTCGCTCTCGACGATGTGGCTCGCGCGCGTAATCGCGTTAACCGCGTGTTTTATCGCCGTGAGGTACGTCAATCCCAAAATTACGGACGAAAATTACGCGCTCACGTTCGATTACCTGCAGAAATACGGATATCTATCCAAAGATGTGGACGCGGTTCCGGCTCAGAGACGAAACAACGTTCTTCGCAAAGCCTTCGAGGATTTTCAGAATTACTACGATTTACCCAGCGATGGAACGCCTAACAACGAAACGCTGCAATAGATGAGGAAGCCGCGATGCGGTTTCCGAGATATCCTGAAGCACGGAACGAAAGCGAGTCTATCCAAATGGCCGAAGACGCACCTGACGTGGAATTTTTACGTAGCCGATGAGGCCGAGCTGAGCACGGCGCGGGTCGCGTTCGACCTGTGGTCGCAGCATTCGGCATTGACGTTCGAACGCTCCAAAACGAATCCCGACATTATAATATCTTGGCGACGCCTACGTCACTATAACACGAATACCAAGGTAAACAGACAAATTTGCTCGGACAGCTTCGACGGTCCTGGTAACGTGCTCGCACACGCGTCTCTCCCGACGGACGAAGCGGGGTTCGTCTCCGAGGTGCACGTCGACGGGGACGAGCCGTGGCACATTTACATCAATAAACACCCCGCGGATAGGTTTTTCCTGCATTACACGCTGACACACGAGATCGGTCACTCTCTCGGATTGTTGCACAATAGACGCAAAACATCGGTGATGTTCGCGTTCACGCCCGACAAGCAGTATCCGGTCAGGCTCGACCAAAACGACATTGCTGAAATTCAACGTTTGTACGGTAAAAAAATTACGAACGAGGCCCCGCAGACGCCGGCGCCGGCGCCGCCGCCGCCAATGCCGGACCTGTGCAGCCTCGATCGCGTGAACGGGATATTGATTTTGGAAAATCGCATGTACATCTCGTACAAGCGTTACGTTTGGTTGATCGATCTGGACGGTAGGACGTACAACGGGCCTTTAGCCTTTTCGCATCACAAAAGCTTTCTTCACGACAATTACACGCGCGTGACCGCCACCTATCAATCCCCGTCCGGCGATCTCGTGGTGTTCGTAGATAATTTGGTATACTTGGTTCAATATCCGGAATTTAGCCTGCGGCCAGGTTGGCTGAAGACCTTACAAGAACTCAGATTTCCTGAAAAAACTATAATCAACGGAGCGGTGAACACCCACAGAGGACGTCCTTCGTGGTGTTCAACGGTAACTCGGTGGGCGAAATAGACGAATGCGACAAGGACAAGAGAGTCGCCAAATTTACGCCTCTCGAGGCGACGTTTCCCGGAATACCGACCGGCGTGACGTCGATCTTCTGCTACGTCGACAGCCATCTGTACTTCACCACTCGGACGCAGTTCTACAAATTCAACGAATTTACGAGGACCGTCTCGTCGGCCGATAAATTCGATCTGCGGATATTAAATATCCTAAGGCCGAGCTGTTGCAGCAGTTGCGCGATCTCCTCAATCGAATCGTACGCCTCAAAGATGATTTAACGTCACTGGCGAGCGATTATTCGGACGATGACGACAACGGCGTTCGGCTTTCCGATCGCCGTATCCGCCGAAGGAAGTAGATAACCTTTCCCACACCACGCCACGCCACACCACACGTCGCGCGACATAAGTAAGATCCTTCCTACTTATACCGATGTGTCCCCCTTAAAGCATCAGTATATCATCGTCAGCCGAATACGACGCGTCGGAAAAAAATCAGAAACGAACGGTCACTGCAGCGCGCGTGCGAAATGTTCTCAACGTTGACCGATCGACCCGCGCCGAAGGGTATTTTCCCTCGCGAGGCGGATTCAGAGGTGAACGACAACGGCAATAAAATACGAAGGATCGATCTGACGGACGATCACCATCGTCATCATCGGGAGTCGCGTTCCAGCTCTCACCTTCCCACCGACATGCCCGTCGAATTGCCCGCGGTGCGTGTCCTGACGACGCGTTATCTGCTGACGACGACTGGCTACAAGTACATAGCCATAGGTATCACGATTAAGTCACCGTGGTACAGTATACATATCACGCCTTCGTACGTGGATATCGCCCTGGGAGATAAACAAGGCAGGGAGGTCTCCCTGACGCTCGACATGTGGAAAGGACTGGTAGAGCGCAAACGCGACATATTGTATATGCAATCCATCCTCGATGGGACCCGCCCCCTCCCCCCTCACCGATATTGATCGGAGGAATGACGTTGCGATTCGGATTGATCAACAACCTGTCGATCCTACGTATGGAGCTACCCAACGCGGCTCGCGTAGCGATGGCGCTCAAAACTCTGCTCACGCTGTACGATCTCCAATTTTGCGTCGATCGCATCGTCTCGGCGCTGAGCACGGCGACCGAGGAGATCGACGCGAAGTTTTCGCGCTATCGGAAGATAGCCACCAACGCGATCAAAGTGGGAACTTCGGCTCAGACTGCGATACTGAAAAGCGAATTCTTCGATCCTAACAACATCGTCGACTGCGAGATCACCGCGCTCTGTTTCCGATCCTAATAATGTCGCGACGCGCGTCTACAAATATATATATATTCATACGCGCGAAATAATGTAAACGTACGTCGACGTGCGTGTATTTTTTCAAAATAAAAAGAACTATGTATCTCATCTGTGCGCTCTCTCTTACTTTTTTCCCTTTTTTCCCAGATCCGTATACCTATCTCTGCGCAACCACGCTTACCCCAAAATCGCGGCGATCGCGTCATCCGCGATACGCGGGGAAGGATCAGAACGACCTTCGAACCGAGAAAAAACAAGATCGAAGAAAGGCGACCGCGATCCGCGAATGAACGACCTTGAACGCATTTTTCGCGCGTTCACTCGCACCAACACCGCGCGGGACGTCGACAAGAGCGACCTCGAACAAGTTCGAACGAGTTCGGGCGAGTTCGGACGCGCCTGGACGCGCGCGAGCGAAAAAATTAGATCGCAATTTCCAAAACAGTCGATAACGGCGGGAGTGCCGCTCCGAGCGCCCCCTTGGAACGCCCGCGTCCCCGCACCGAGCCCCGTTGGCGACCCTGCGGCGCGATATTCCTAATTACCCGCCTAAGGAATTTACTTCCTACAAGGTCCCCACAAATACCAGTAAACAGCCGTCCCCTCGCGTCGCGCTTCCCCTTCGCCCGGCAAATATTAGTAAGTCGCCTAGGGACTTTTCCCTCCGCGACACCCCCCACCGATGACCCTTAACACCGTCCCTCGCCCACTGCTTACGGCGTTTCTCCCTGCTTTCAGCGAAGCCCTCCCCCCGACCCCGCTAACCGCAACTCCGCATGCCTGAGGCTCGGAGTGGTTGTTACCCTCCTACTCTCGGTTTATATACATGCCGTGGCGGCGTTACGGAGTGGCGGGGGTAGTGGCGGCAATTGCGAGCGCCGAGATGGCGCGGCGGAACGGTCGGAGATTACGGCGTCCCGACGCCGGGATTGCCGTTGGCGGTCTTCGGTCGCGTTCGGCACCGCTCGGTGCTTCGAGACGGTTGCCGCGGTAAGTCCGTTCGCGGACTTTCTATCATTTACAAATGATTAAAAATAAAGTGGGCACAGCGTGCCCGTTTCTCGCCCGGCGAATGGTCGGCCGGGCGATCTCGGCTTGATGTTTGGCCGGAACGATGCGTATTACGGGGCGCATCGTTACAAATTAAGAAACAAAGAGAGAAAAAATAAAAAAAAATAAAAAAGAAAGAGAAAATTTTAACAATAATGTTTAAATTTGTATAATAAATCCAAATTTATAATTGTTTTAACAACAAAGACAATTATAATATGTTTATATGCAATATAACTTTTATTTGCAGCGATTAAGGTTCAAAAACGAAAGAGAAAAAACAAAAATAGTGTTCAAAGACTAAAAAAAAAAGAAAAAAAAAGAAAAGAAAAAGGAATGAATTAATAAAGAAGATACAATTTTATAATAATATTTAAATTTATTCACGTATATACCTAACACATTTGAATTAAATGCAAGGATGAAAGTTTACGTCGTCAAACAGTCTTGAATTCATAAATAAAAGAGTAAGATGTGACACATCACTTAGTTTTATACAATTAAATTAAGAGTCAATCAAAAATTAATTAATTACGTATTAATACATTGTAGTTAATATGTAAGTAGAACACTATAAAGCACACACATACATAACTCTGAATTTCTACAAACACTGTAGTTCTAATTTGATCACTCGCATCTATTTTGTCGCAACGTTAAAATAAACTTCATTGTTTATACGCTTCACTCCAATTCGCCTGCAAGGAACATTAGTTATCCACTTAATAAGCTTATATGCTGTACATTCAGCATCACTGATGACTAATCTACTAAAGTTAATGCATTTCGGAATCTTCACTCTTCGTCTCTTTCTAACTATCTCTTTTAGAGAGAGACGAAGAGTGAGTTTCCAAAACAAATCAACTTTAGTGGACCAGACATCAGTGACGCTAAGTGTACATACATTTTCGAAAAAATACATAAAATAATCTTTTAAGCATATATCTATGTAAACGTTTAATGAAAATGCTCAAACATTGAAAAAAATTGACTTGGATTTGCCAATAACAATATACGCATTAATGTGTCAAATATTCAGTGACTTATACCCGTATTCATAGTCCTTCCTTATTTTGAGGATAAAGGAAGCCTTCATGAAGGATTCCTTGAATCTCTAAGGCTGCCTTGTTTCACAAATGGATCTCGAGTCTTCCTTCTAGAAAGAGGGAATATTTTAGGGATTTTTAGTAACTTACTGAAGGCAGCATCGTTTTATGATGTTTGCAACTAATTTCATGTAATATAAAAATTTTTTCGAATCGTAGTGATCGTGAAAGCTGTGATAAGCTGTGATAAATTTTGCAATAATAATGAATAAAGATAAAAGTACAAACGTTCATTATACGGAGCACGAAAGAATGCTTTTGGCGCAGCTCATTAGTGAAAAAAAAGTAATAGAATGTAAGAAAACCGGTGCATCAGATTTAAAAGATAAGACGGATGCATGGGAAACAATAACCAAAAAATATGCAAGGTTGTACGCCTCGCACTAGCAAACAATTAAAAAAATGTTGTTGACACAATATGAAACAGAGGTACGTGATAATATCATTGATATAATTAATAGGGGTATTCAAATAAGTTAAAGTTTAACGGTTTGACAGGTTATGTCGGGTTAAAGTCGGGTAAAAAGTTAATTAATTAACTTTGGGCGCGCTACTCTTTAAGGTTATGCAAAATACACAAGTGACTCATTAACCTATCACATTAATCTTTGGGTTAAAAGTTTAAAAATTAACTTTTTACCAGACTTTAACCCGATGTAACCTGTCAAACTCTAACTTATTTGAATACCCCTAATTAGTTTTTATATACTTTTCTTCCAAATGTATAGTCCTTATCTATACATATATATATTTCTATATTTGGTTTCTATTTTATTTTCATATCTATTACCTCATTAATTAATCATTTCAGAAAACAAAAAATAACCACGGCAATCCGGCACGAACGACTTATGACAGGTGGAGGTCCTGCACCAGTACAGCCGAAGGACCCGGTGATAGAATTCATGGATGCAACAAATTCAAATATTGATGTCGAAATTGATTGTCCATTTGACAGCACGGCAGTATTTGAGAAAGAATGTAAGCACTATATACATATAGGTTTCCACTTAGTAATACAAGTCAACACAAGCATCATTCTATCTTTATTCTCATAGAATGTAGATCAAAGATAGAATGAGGCTTGTGTTGTCTTGTATTGCTAAATGAAAAGCATTCATAGTTTCTATTTTTTTTTTATATTACAAAAATCATTTTTGATATTTTACTTTTAGATAATATAAAGATGGATACGATGGATTCTACAAAAAAAACATTGATTATTGAATGTGAAAGTGAGAAAGAAGAGGACGATAATGTCGATGAAGTTACATATGATCAAAGCATTCAATCTATGTCTCGCAACATATCATTGGAAAAAATGGGTACTTCAAAAATTAAGAACATACAGGTAATGAAAAAGCTCATGAATTCGGTTAATATTAGTTATTAATATTAGTTAATATAAATTAGATTTATGATAATGTAATAAATTAATAACAATAAAATACTAATGATAGTATAATTGGTTTTCAGAGTATCCGTGACGAAAGGGAACTAAAGTTAACAAAAATTCGAGAAGCAATTGAACTGCAGCGGGAGCTGCATGCTAAAAGAATGAAGATTGCTGATATAGAAGAAAAGATTGTTCTAGCAAAACTTTTGAAAGAGGAAGAAACACTCAAATAACAAATAACTTATAATATTAATAACGTAATAATATATATGATAAAATATAAAAATATATTTTCATATACTATAATTAAAAATATAATTATTGATTAGTTTATTAAAGTTTTAATATTTTAATAAATATTGTGTATTTGTGTTAAATAAATAAAACATTTTTCAAATAAAATAAATTTTTAATTTATATTTGTACAATT